GAATTGAAATAATGGAAACCAACGACAACCGTTTTGGCAAGGACAATTGCGTTCCCACAGCCCCCCACTCAAATGGCGGCAGCGCGGACGCTCCTCTGACCAACAGCACAGTTGCTCCCCCCATAGGCGGGATGACAACTGTGGACAATTGCGCCGTAACAACAACTCCCGACGCGATAGGGACAACAATTCTTGGGACAATCGCTGGGACCAGCAGGACCGGTTCACGTGTCCATTTTGTTCCACAAACCACTCTGCGACACAGTGCCTTCTGTCCATACGCAAAAAACTGCAAGCAGTTTGTCAGCGTTGGCTCTGCACTAACTGTCTCTTGCAGGACCATTACGACAACAACTGTCTGTCTCCCAATTGGTGTTGCCACTGCCAACAGGGGCATCATTTGATGACGTGTAACCGCAATCGTCAGTGGAACCAGCAGCGCGCACGGGCAGAGGGGCAAGCAGCCATAGCCGCCCCAGCTGTCCAACAGGCAGCACCAGCGGCTCCCGTTGCCCCTCCAGCACCAGCTGCCCCTGCAGCTGCCGCTGCGGCAGCCCCGATTGTTCAGCAGCAGCAGGCTGCACTGGCCGGCTGACAACCACCAGCGGCCAAGCACCGCGTTGTCCTGGTTGTTTCAGCTCCTTGGCCAGGGCCCACGTGCGCCTTCCTCAAGACTGCCGCCATCCAATTGAAGCCTGAAGGGCATACTGCATATGCTCTCCTGGACTCTGGGGCCCAGCTAACACTCATTTTGCGGGCCCTCGTCCAAAGACTCAATTTGGTCACAGAACCATGTCTGCCCTACATATTTGGCGGTGTAGAACAGGCTAATCCCGTGACGGCAACGGAGGCTGTTTGCCTCACATACAGGGGGGCTATGCCAGCCTCCCCCACATTTCACACTGTGGCACTTGTCATACCTCACGTCAAGCCATGGGAGGGTTCTAACCCATGCGCCGTCCCCTGGTTGGAAAAGTTTGACCTGGCGGACAGGCGCATCCTAACGGATACTGTGCTGACCTTTGATATTGTGCTTGGGGGCAATGACCTGGTACCGTTCTACCGAGACATTATGCCTCCCATTTGCACTCAAGGGTTTCTCAGGGTGCCTACGCACCTAGGGATTGTGGCAAGAGGAACGTGGGCCGCCCAGCGCGCGCAAGGACCGGTCCTTGCACCTTGCGTATGCATGGCGCTTGAAGCCCCTACCCTGGTTTCTGATGGCAAGCTCAATAGCCTCATACTGCAATATGAGTACCAGGATTGCATCAATATTTTGGGCGATCCCAGGGAAGAGCAGTGCTCCAGAGAAAAAAAATTTCAGGCATACCTCCGCCAACTTGTTGTCAGTCCAGGGGGGCCCGTTGTGGCACCCCTCCTCAAAATTTCCTTGTACCCGGACCAATGCAAACCAAACTTGCGCACCGGGGTGCAGAGAAGCCAGTCCTGTATCAAACTCCTCTGGGCTGGTGGCCCAATGGCAAAAGCATATGAGGAATTCTTTACTAACTGGATTGATGATGGCATCATTACACCCACAACCATCAAAGACATGAATAAAAAAGGCATTGCGTACACGGAGCTGCTGCACCATGGGGTCGCCCGGTCATCAAGCTCATCAACACCTCTCTGGGTCATCATGGCTGGCAATGCGACAGACCCCAGTAGCCTCTCCTGCAATCAGCTATTCAGCCCGGGAGCAAACATCCTGCCTCAAATCACCAAGATCCTTTTGGGCTGGAGATTCACGGTGGACTTTGCTGTTGGTGACATACGCAAAGTGTTTGTCCAAGTGGAACTCGCCCCCCAAAGATCAGTGGGTCCTCATAATTTGGTGGCCCCAACTGCTACCCAACGGCAGTATCATCCACAAGTTCTTTCATTTTCTATGCCTCCCATGAGGCATAAACAGCCTACCGGCCGTCGTTGCCCAAAGGGGGGAGGTTTTGTGGGGTCCCGTCCAAGCGGCGTGACCCGAGCGCAGCATCCTTGCTTGGACACGCCGTGCAGCAACAGAAACCCAGGGTCCCGGAAGCAGATAGGAACCTGGTTTACTGCAATGAGGTAAACCGGGTGAAGTAGCTGATACTAATCTCCGGCGGCAAAGAAGCCCAAACAAAGTCTACAACTTTGTCACTCTTGTATTGGGATTGCCCGACGGTGGTTGCTTTATTACTTGAGAGCTCTGATCTGTTCTGATTGTTCAGTGTGTTCTCTGAAGTTCTACTTTGTCCTTCTGCGGTTCCCTGAGGTAAAAGTAAAGGTGTGCTGATTTAAGGGACTCCAATAAGGAGGTTCTGGCCTTTAAAGGCTGACCACTGTGTCCGTTTCTTTCATTACTTCTTTGTCCTTAAATCGGCCCAACAGCAGTTGCATGATGATCGAATGCTATGTGCTAATTCCCAAAAATTTGCGGACAAAAAGCAGCGTCGTTTCATAATTTATCTCTTCTTCCATACACAGTGAAGTTTCATTCTAAACAGCCCAACTTTTCCAATAAAATTTCTATGATATATCCCAAAAAATATTGCAACTTTAAACTTTAAAGGCGTACGAATCGAAATCTCTGTTGTGCGACGACTTTGAAAATATTAATTTCGTTCTTACTGAATTAGTGAATTTTACAAACTCCCTTGCTTCATCAGAAGATACTGTATATAGTGAAGTATATGAAAAGAAAGTGGAATTGATATTCGTAGCAACATTTTCATTGATTTCATTCAGTAGACAATTTTGAGGCATGAATAAGGAGCTTCTTATCGACATGGTGACGACTTATTCTCGAATTTAAGTGCATATGGTAATTCTCAAAACTTTCCAGTTCTATACTTGAACTGTTGAGTCCGTCGCACACCACGTCCTTTCTTATCAGTGACTCATAGTCCTCGTAAAAACATTGCTTCCTTCGTCCATTCAGTGTCAGATCCCTTTAATCAAAGACGTCCCCATTCTTAAAGTCAACGAAAAGATATTTGCTGTATATATTTCATAGATAAGGACTAAAAAATGAAACACAAAACTAGGCGTGAAATGAAAAATATATTGAGGTTTGTGGATACACAATGTGTTTCACAAGTACAGTAAGTCTTGATATTTCTGAAATTGAATATTAATTGAGAAGGATGGAACATTTTTAAAACAAGCAATCGTACCTTGCATTTCGGCGGAATGACAAACTCGGCCTCTGTCCTTTGATTTTCCGCGCTTGCTTGAGGTGAAAGGCTGCAAAAAAGAAAATCAATCGAAGAATTTCAAAAGGCTCATATACAAGTTCTATTGCAGTTTTCCTGCAGCATACTGTATTTTTAAAATTCGATCAATTGTTCGCGCTTTACTTTGCAGATTCCCCTCATATTTAAACTGGACGACCGTTTATTTTCATCACGTACCGCTCCAAATTGTGATGGAGTGAAGAGCAAAATACTGGAGAGAGAGAGAGAGAGAGAATAGCTGGATTCAGGCATAAATTAGACATGAGTTTAATTGTTATTAAATTCTTGTCATTTCACTTCATCATCTGCCATTTTTCCCTTGCTTTATCTCCCTCCAATGAATTCAGTTTGGAAAAGTTTGCTGGAAATTCAAATTTTTCTCCAGGTAACTCACCCGTGACATTTCTTGAAAAATTGGAAACTTTGTACTTGTGTATCATTTATTGCACATTTCTTAAATTTTTCTACTAAAGAGAAGGAATGCATTTAATAATTGAGTGAACATGAAACTCAAGCAATAGGATATAATTTGGTTTTGGGAAAGGAACTAGCATGCCTTACTTTCTTGGAACTTCAAAAATTTGGTACGTGTCCAACACAATCAACCTTTTTTCTCCTGAGTTTGAAAAACAATGTGCATTAGGTACAGCACTTGAGTATACCTTATATGCTCCAAGAAATGCCCCAACATTTATTTAAAATTTTAAATCCCCCCCCCTCCCCTGGCCTTCAATAGAGACAGGCGTCTATTTGAAACCAGCAACTATTTCCAACAGTTGCAACCATGGAACTAGATAATGAACGAAAAATGAGGGGAACACAAAGAGAAAACATAAGGGGGGAGGGGAATTGCATTTCCTACTGATTTTTGGAAATGGGACAGGAGGAATGCATAAGAAAAGGCCAAAGGGAAGGGGTCTCACTGTTGAGTGTTTAAGAATAGATTGTTGGAAGGATTATTAATATCAACAGAACAAAATTTTTGGAATTTCTTTTACCCCTGTCTTTGGAATGGTCACCACTGTATATAATGTAGTATATAGAGGCTGGCTACTAGCTCCTTGAACCCGTTATTTGAGACCAGTAATTTATTAAAGACCAGCATTTTTTGGAGCATTTACAGTATATACACAGATGACCACCATACAATGGAACTCCTGTACAATGGATTTTTGCTCAACAGACTGTCTCTGGAGGGCATTTTTCCATCCTGCGCAATGGACTAAATCCACATAACAGACTTCTGTTGGTTTAAAATTAATGCTAAAAAGTCAAAATTGTAATTTTTTAATGCTTGAATGATGCACATAACAGATGTTTCACACAACAGACTAGTCTGTTTTACAAATTAAGTCCAGTGTGAGGGGTTGACTGTACTGAACTTTAGGAAACTTCAGTGACACAGATTTCACTTAATTTGCTTTGGAAAATGGAGTGAGGATCCAAATATCCTCTCTGGATAAATGTATGAAAACCCACAACCACAACACCTAACTTTTTGAGTGGAAGGGCGGCACTTTCCTGTTATCTCTGTACCTACTTTCCTCTTATCTCTGTACCTACTTTCCTGTTATCTCTGTACCTACCCTCTGACCAATTTGACCTGACCTAACCTAACTTCACCTTACCGCCTCCCAAAATCAGTTTCTGCTTTCTTTGGGTTTCTGCTGAAACTGATTTTTTAACCTGACCTAACCTAACTTTACCTAACCACCTCCCAAAATCAATTTCAGCAGAATGCAGAAAAATAAAATTCAAAGTTTCTGGTAAGTTGTTGTGATTATGAACTCATCCTAAAGATTTGTCTGGATTGTAGTGCGGTCTAGGAATGAGGTACAGAGATAACAAAAAAAGTGCTGGAAGGGCTTCCAACAGCAAGAGGAAAATCTAGAAAAAACAAATTGAAGCAAATCGAAAATTAAAACTCGAAATACCTGAAAAATCTTTGTGGATGCTCTGATGGACACCTTATCCTGAGTGCTCTTTTTTGCATTAATGACCCCCTTCATCTCCAGCAACTGGGTCATGCCTTTCAATTGCTCCTCCATTTCCAAGGTGGCACTCGCACTGATGCTCTCGGACTTATGGTCCTCATTTTCATCGGACGACTCCTGCTGGTCATACCGTCTTCTCATCAGGTTATTGCCAATAAAGGGAGATGCCATTGCTGTTGCCCCTTCATTCACTCTGCTCGTTTCCTTGTAATTGTGTCCTTTTCTTTCGGGGGATCTAAGAAATGGCAGCTTGCAAGCCTCAAGAATCTCGTCGGACAAAACTGATCCCGTGCTATCAAAGGTGAAATCTGGCTCCGGCGAGCTTCCGTTTTCCGTTATGAGGTCGTAAATGGGCGAATCTAAAAATGCAAATAAATAATATTTTCTGTATCGCAAAAGTTAGTCCAACTACTGTTTGGCAAGCATGTCGCGTATTTAATAAACTATACTGTACAAGATTAATGCTTGGAAGTAGGAAATCATTCCCCCTCCTCAAAATTGAAGTGCAAATAAGAACATCCTGACACTGCAGCATCCTCTACCATATAATTTCTGTCCAGATTAAAGGTAAAAGCTATTGAAGGTTAAATATAATTCTTGGTATGTAAGGAGCTCATCCAGCTCAAGATCATAGTCAGAAGTTTCGATTTATTATTTGAGGGATTGGCTTATTCCAAACTTATCCTGCAACCTGAGTTCATTGAGTTGCTTATTTGGGTTTATTCTGTGAAACATATTTATCTCTTTCAACTAGGAATCACTACCAGGAATTTGTGATCCTGTCCCAGACTGATTGCTGTGTTTCATTGTATTTGATACTTTAGACATCAACTTATATTGTGGTGAACATTTTCCCCAATATCAAGCAAGATGCAAAGTCTCAAGTCTTCCTGGAAAATATTTCTCAAACAATCGAAGGAAAATCTGCATATATTCCCCAAGCATTTACACCAGTAAAACACAATGAAATATGGGTGTGTATTGCTCCTTTTGAAGGATGCTTTTTGAGTTATGTTTTGTTCAAAAACAGCGTTGATTGTTGTCATGGGTCCATTGGATCCCAGACAAAGGAATTGAATTGTGCAGCCATCAGAAGGCAAGTTTTGAATAAGAACTCAAACTCTTTCAGAGGAGTTCATTCTCATTGGCCAGTTCATCAATTGGCTGTTGAATCAATTTTTTTAATGGCAGAGTCAATGGTTAGCTTAGAATATTGAATGAGGTAATTTAAAGTTAAAAGGCCCTTCAACACAAGGTTCTGACTTCTCCCCTCAAAGAGGAATGAAGGCTTTTATAGCCAGGTGCTTGGACTGGGTCAGGAAGAAATCAGGTGATTTCTTCCTGGTTCAGGATTGGCCAATCAAAGAAGTGATAACCACTTCTTGTCCTTGTCATTGAGTCTTGCAAAAACAGGATTTTGGCAAGCTCACTGGCCTCCAGATCCAACAATTTTTTTGGGTCCGGTTACAACCAGATGCTGGAGCTGCGTTGCTTTTGGACACAACAAAAATCACCGGAGCTCTTTTCCAAATTGATAATATAAAATTGATTGTGTTTGATGAGCAGAAATCGAAAAAGACAATTTTGGCAAGCTAGGAATGAAACTATTTTTTCAAAATGCTTCCTATTTTTATATACATCAACTGCTCATCTATGGCGATTTTTGTTTAAAATTTCTGCGTGCTTAACAGGGAAGGAATGTAATCATTTTCCAGTTTGATGTTCAAAATATCATTTATTTTTCTGCGATTTTAATAGGGTTTATAATACAGTTGTGAAGTTTCTTAAACGTGAACTTGTTCTGTCAAACAAACAAAAAGTAAAAAGTTTAAGAATTCATTAGCCTTACCTGAACTTCTGGATGATTGTTCATTTCCAGGACCCGTTGTTTGATACCCAGAATCAGTAGTTGTGCGAATCTTTGAACAAAAGAAGTGTAGAGGAATCTGTCATAATCTGAAGAAGTTTTCGAATATTATTATTCCCTGTATGGTTGCTTCCATGACCGAAAACCTTCTTTCTGTTATCCTCAGAATCTCTTCTAAATAACAAAACATTTATGAGATTTTTTGGCTGGAAAACACTCTGAAACCGATTTTTGGTTTATGTCTCATTCGTGTTACAAAAATAACTCACACTATCAGTTGCCCCAGGACTTTCGGAAACACTGACCTTATTCCTGTGCCTCATTTTCACTCCACTGCCCTTGAGTTCCAGCAACGAATCCGCTTGACTGTCAATGAAAAAACGAATTTAAAATGTCTCAAAATCAGCTCCAATTATAGAAATACGCCAACTCTGAAATCAAGATGAGTATAAGGAAGAAACAACTTTTCTAGCCTGATGCTTTCAGCATTCCCACTACGGAGTTGATTCTGTGGATTCGCAACAGGAAATAATAACTGGTCTCTCTGATATGCGGCTTGACGCACTTCCCTGGATATTCTATCCGCTGCTTCCTATTGGAAAAAAATAAATGCAGATCAGAATATCACAGGCTATATACGAAAAGGTTTAGCACAAAAGCACCTTCAATTTCTTCAACGAAATTTCTTGTTGAGGAACAAGCCATGAACATGAACATTTTCCCCAGGAAATCTGGAAGTTTAGTCAAACCCTGTTAAACCAACAACATCTGTGCAGCAAGATTTTGGCAGCTTAATAAGGGTGGTGGTCTATCCAGGGTGGTGATTAATTGGGGGGGGGGGTGTGGAATATGTCATTAGCTCAAAAAACATAGGATCACAGAAAATGAGAGGAAAACTTTTTTTTACATTGTAACTGAGAGGAATATTTTCTTGTCCCTGATGGATGGTTGGAAAGATACAATTTCATATGTATTCCATGAGAAGAATTTTAACTCATAGAAAATTATTTGTAAAATGAAAAAAGACAAAGAGAGCAGCTGCTTCAAATTCCTTGCTTCCTACCCTTTACACTTCCGAAGATGTCAATTAAAGTGTTCGCAACTTCCAGCAGTCTCTCTGCCAGATGAAACAATACTTATGGTTTAAAATGGCTAGTCAATTGGTATGCTGATGAAGATCTAAAATAGAAATTATTCATTCAATATTTGTCCAATAGAATGGGTGATTCATTTTTATAAACTAAAAATATTTCAAAAATTACCCAAATGTAAATTCCTATGCAGCACATTAATGTAAATTCCTATGTTTGCAGCATGTTAACAACATCATGGTGATACATTTTAAGCATCAGCAGGGTTTTATTTCAGTAAAAGAATATCTATGGGAATTTTTAAAATATTACAAAGAATCCATGAATTTTTCAAACAAGCCTCAAATGTCTGAAAACATTCAATAATATACATTCCCTGCCAAACTTTCAGGAGTATTCTAAATTCTGAAGGAATCTCTTGATGGAAGCATGAAGATAATTGTGTTTTGCAGCCAAACTGAATGCAATTGGATAAAAACTGCACATCATTTGGAGAGTCAAAAGAGTTCCTGAAGAGTGCTTGCAGACCATAATATTCAAGGATTTATGGAGAAAAATTAAAACTCTGAAGAGCATGTTTGGAAGAAGGAAAAATGTTGCTCGTTTCAGGAAAAAGAACAGATTGAAAGAAGTTGAAGAAAAAGTAGGAGGAAAGCCTCTGTCAGGAAATTAAAGCATTGGCCATTTAAAGGGGTAAAAAACAATGGCATGTGCCTATCTGTGGCCAGAAAACGGCTGGCAGTTGGCAGCCTATTGAGGTTTCCCCATCCTGTTAACATTGGGGAGATTTGTTTGGGGTACAAATTTGGTGGGAGGTGAGGGTGGCAGTTTATTGGGGGGGGGGGCAGTTTAACGGGGTTTTAATGCATTATAAATACTGTACTTCTAATTTCCCAAAATTAGATAGATTTGAGTAGGAGCTGTAATTTTCACCTAATAAAAAAACTGTTGAATTAAGCTCATTCAAATAAACAAGAGAAAACTATGCACAAGAAATTGACAATATTGTTGTTTTGGGGGATGAGCCAGCATGCATTTTATAGATTTTTTTAACTGATTTAAAAAATCTGTCTTTGAGTTTTATTCCAAATCTAAAATCTGTTATATCTTGTAGTCGTGTGATATTTTATAGAAATAATCGCATGAATTAGTTGAATGAACTGCTCAATCCATGCAGAGATATGGACAAATCCCTTCATGTCCAACAAGAATTGCATCAATTGTCTAAGAGTTGTACCAAGAATTTAATGCTTCTATCCCATCAACCAGTTTTGATTTTCGCGGGAAACAACTGTCCCTTTTCTAGAGTAAACTATTCAGAGTATTTCCATTAGGTAAATAACTTTTGCTTTGCATCTATAGCTCTGGATTCTTTGTGTAGTAATTGACACCACTGTACAGGTGTTACCTCACAATTCAACCATAATCCATTGGCAAACTAGGGTAAAATTGCAAGTTGGTCAAATTGCAAGACACTCCATGAAATTCAAAAATATAAGTACAAAACATAAAAAGTGGTCAAAGCAGGTCAAATTGTGCAGGCAAGGTTCAAATTGCAAGTCAACCTCCCTGCAAATTTGATCACTGAATTGCAGGATGGTTGAATCCCCTGCAGAGGTCAAATTGCAAGGTACCACCTGTATAGGGAATAGGGAATGAGAAATTAAATTTTTAAAATCTTTAGACTTCAAATTTAGTAGGTGTTCCACTAAATAATTTCTGTGGGATGAAAAAGAGAGCAAGAAATTATATACGCCTAACACTGGCAGAATAAAAACAAGTAATAAATTCCAACAAATAATTCAAGCTTGAATCTTCCAACAAAATGGAAAAGATCATTATATTCTTACTGATATGTATGCGTTCTTTGATGAAACAGTATAATTTGTTCATCTTGGGAGAAACCTTCCATCAAATAGGTTTGGCTCCAGGAAATTTCCATTGATCAAACATCAGAGTTGGCATTTCTCCATGTATTTGCGCACAGTACTTATTCATTGCCTGACTTGAACGTGCTGAAAGGGAATCATTTCGGTTCGAAGGGATTCTATTCTATAAACAGTATAATTAAGGACATATTCGGTAGGTTTTGTGCATGCAAGCAGAGGTACTTGACTGTACAATATGCTAAGTTATACTTCGAGGCATTGCACGTGGAAATGTATTATTTTCAGTTTCTATACAGATCTGCATGTGTCAAACAAGCAAGCAAGCATTTACACTTCAAAACTTTGAGGATTTTCCTTCACAATGTTTTTGTCTCCAGTCAACGTCCGCTTTCATATTTCCATGACTGGATTTCAGCATGAATTGCAAAAAGTTTCAGCGGATGATTTGGGGCACAATTTTGAAAACAAAGTTTGTATCAAAATGTAAAACTTTTACAAATAATCACCAAAATCACCAGTTCCACTTATTCAAATCGTTCAGCTTTAAATTGTAATTCTAAAGCTTTTCAACCATATTCTGTTCAAAGCTTTTACTAAATGAGATGTTTAATACTTTAGAATTGATTTATGAAATGACCCCACGATGCGGACGTAATTGGTGAAGCAACAATGGAACTTCCAAATGTTGGACCTCATTTTCCCATAGACTTCAATGGAAATATTTTTAATTGGTTCTCATCAAAAATGAAGGAAACTTCTCCCCAAAAAGTATTTGATATCAATTTAAAGGTACCAAAAATAAATGTACAGACAAAGAAAACCACGCAGAATCTTATCTATTGACATCAGCATAAGCTCAAGAATCGCAGAAAAAGAACAGGCTATACAGTACTGAGTGCACATGATCAAATAAATTTTAAAAAAAGGTACAAAATTAGCCTGTTTTTGATTATGAATTTGATTAATTTCAAGTGTACCTTCATTTTTAGCATTTGTAACTATGAATAACTCAATTTTTTCAACTAATATGAAAAAGTTTCCAGAAATTTTCGGAAAATTTCCGTAAGTCGAGTTATTTTCCGGATGTTGGACCAGATTTTTCACAACTGTAAGTGTACTTAAGTTGAATCGTCCATATGTCGGCGTGTCCGCATTTCGGGGTCTCACTGTGTAATGTATACAAGTTTCCTTTTTTTTTGTGCACATAAGTCAAACAGTTCTCTGATTATTCTCTGCTGGTTTCCCATGAAGGTCGTGGATTTGTTTCTCAAGTACAGTACACTGCATGGGAGTTTGGATTTTTTAGAAATGGATTTTCGTTAATTTAGAAATGGTATCTATGATCTTAAAATATCACGAACGCAAAACATGCTGATGGGAATGTCGGACAGGTTTGAACCCCGAATTGGGTTATTTTCGATCTTATTCTCACGGTAATTGAACGTTGCGCAGAACTGGTATTTGAATTTCCTTCTGCTGAATAATTTCGCGAGGTAAAATTTCGAATAGTGGGTAAGACGTACTCGGATACTGATGAGCTGATGAGCACTGGATGCGGACCTTTTGTTGATATTCCGTGGCCCAGTTGAATAACCCTCGGCGACATTTTCACTTTTCACCGTGTTTCTCCTTCTCGAATCCATCGCGTTCACATCTCTTTTTCCTTTTCAAAGAAATAATAGAAAAAAAACAGAACATTTGCTTGTTTGTTTTTCGAATTGCAATACATTTTCTCACGCGTTCTCCCACTTCCGCAAATATCGATTTTCCCTCATTCGATTTCGTTTTTATTTTCCTTTTTCCCTTTCTATATAGGATGCGACTCCGAATACGATGGTTGAATGGTAGTTTTTATTTTATTTTCTATGTACGAGCTCTGATTTCCGAAGAATTTCAAGCTATCTGTAGGAGCCATTTCCGTCTGGAAGAAACAGATACTATCGTTCTTGACCTTATGCTGACTCAATGTCCATCACACGACAGCGTTCTACTCTGAAAACGTACTTTTTGAACTTTCAATTCACGAAATGTTTCGATTGGATGACGTGTAAAAGTGTTGCCTTCACTTCACAAAATATAAGAAGAGAGTTATTTAATTGAGACTTTCAAACTTAGTGACATTTGAAACACATGCAAACTACTCAATTGAAATCACAACACGGAGGCAGGAATCGATGACGGTTATAATTGATTTTTCAGGCAACGATAATTTGAGTATACCCTTGAACCTTCATCAGAACTCAAACCCGCCTAATTCGAATTTTTTTCAAATCCCTGTCGAATTCTCTGAGGAACTATATGTATTAAAAACCTCCCTGACTGGAAGCTTTTTCCTCACAAACCTCCCTATAACTCGAATTTTTTGGAGGCCTTTTGGCAATTTATTTTCTTGGCACAGGAAAGAAAAAAGCATTTAAAACATAATTCCATGTGTTTTGAAAAGAAAAGGAAAGACTCCATTGGGCGTGTCAACACAACTCACCGCTCTTGAACTTGCCGCACTTGGAACTTGCCGCACCCCTTATGACTTGCCGCTGTCATAACTTGCCGCAGAAATAACTTGCTGCTGTCATTTCTTGCCACACATGCAACCTGCCACTGCTACAACTTGCCAGAATAACTGAGGCAAGTAAAGTTGCCGCACATGGCTTGCTGCACACACAACTCACACTGCAATAACTTGCCATGCGCACATGAATAATGACCATTTTGCATGATTAAATGTAATATTGTAATGGATGTATTCCTGCTTGCACACCAATGATTTAAAAATTAAATTTGGAAATTAATCAATGCATTGAAGAACTGTATATGCTGCAGTGAAAAAAGGAAAAGAACCCTATGAATTAGAAGATATGACCATTTTGCATGATTAAATGTAATATTGTAATGGATTTATTCCTGCTTGCACACAAATGATTTGAAAATTAAATTTGGAAATTAATCAATGCATTGAAGAACTGTATATGCTGCAGTGAAAAAAGGAAAAGAACCCTATGAATTAGAAGATACATACAGAAAAATTACCAAGAATTTGCAAAGNCAATGCATTGAAGAACTGTATATGCTGCAGTGAAAAAAGGAAAAGAACCCTATGAATTAGAAGATACATACAGAAAAATTACCAAGAATTTGCAAAGTGTGTCAAGTTCACATAGTTCAAGAACACTCATGGAATATTTGAAGGGTGTTTCCATGAATAGTTAACCTCTCATGTTTCGTGAACTCTCAAATATGCTGCTGCAATAAATTCAATTGCGGCAACTTGTATCAGCTGCAAGTTATTTCTGCGGTGAGTTGGGCTTGCGGCAGGTTGTCACAGCGGCAAGTGATGACAGCGGCAAGTGAGGACAGCAGCAAGTGATGACAGCAGCAACTGTTGGTGCGGCAAGCACAGCTGCGGCAAGTGAAGGTGCGGTGAGTTGTGCCTGAGCCCTCCATTGGGCAAATTTAGTCCCTGCCTCCAAGTTCAGCATCCTGTTGACTCATTTAATATGCATTTAATGCCCAGAATATCACCATTTACACTTTTGTGCAATTCTTCTATGTTTTCTATAACAAAAATGCTTGGTTCTGTTACTCAAACCTCAATTATTCAAAACCTCGTTAAAAGTCAAAACCTCCCTAAGTCAAATTATTTTTGGTGGTCCCGCCTTGAAATTTGGCTTTGAGGGTTCAACTGTATAAACGTTTGATCTCACTTCATCTGAAATCCTATGAAAGACTGCTATTCTGATTTGAACTGTAAAAAAATCGGAAGATGAATTTTTCAATTGAAATGGTTTTTTGTTGAGTAAGTTTGAAATCATGGTAATTAGTTAAAAGACTTATGCAGCTATTGACTAAATTCAAGAGGCCAAACTGGTTTCGTTTTTGCTGACGATAGCAAGCGATTGATATGATTTCCGGTATATCCAGTTGCTAAATATTTTTCCTTGAATAAATTGACGTATTTTCTAGGAGGAAAGTACTGTACTTCCTGTTGTCCACTAAAAAATACTGCGGAAAAGACTGATTTCACGAGCTGGCTCTGTTAAATGCTTTGTTAGTTCTCACTGAATCTTCGTGTCACAGCAGGATATGCAAACAATTTCGTTTCACCGAAACATGCGCATGAAAACGAAGCTTTACAAAATTAGAAACTAAGAGATCAGCTTTCACCGTTCAAAAGTTTAAACTAGAAATTAAAAAAGTATTTTAGATTTACGCCGTAGAATTTTCTGGATCTATTTAATCTGTACTTCCCTGGACAGAAGGGATATAACCTGGTTTTGATGTTTGGGGAGGCAGAGCAAATAATTATGATGGGAGAGCCAAGGAAAGCCTGTATCGCACAATTTTCAAATTCTGGCAAGTTTAATTTGCAGGTTTCCAGGAATTCCATGATTTCTTTATCATTCGTTTTCCAGTAAATTAGAAAAATTTTTCTGTCATCAAGCTCAAAACAAAATATTTTGGTTTTAAAATTTCGGAGAGTATAAATATGCAGGTGACTTTTTATTTTGGTTCAGCCACATGGCATCGAAATTTCAAGTGCATCAATAAATTTCTTACCTTACAAATATTATCTTGAGGAAATTGTGATTACTATGCCGTAACATTTTTTAAATTGTCAGCAGTTGGTGCGCTATATTTTCCTTCAGTTTGACCCTGAAGTACAGTATAATCCTACGATCAATATAGTATAGAGTCAAGTTCACCGTGTTATTCGGTTATAACTGTGTTTTATTATTTGAATGGTCGAATCAAAAATTTTCATCAGAAGATTGAACCTAACCAAAATCTATAGGCTCACTCTAATTTTTTTTAGAATTCAACGTTGAAAAATGTTTTTTTTATTCTCTTAAACACAGGATGAATATTTCGTACCTTAAAGTTTTACAATAAACGATTCGTAAGAGTGCGTAAAATTTGGGCTCGATCGATAGGAATGAAAAAAGGAAATAACAGCAAACTGCGTTATTCCGCACAATACCGTATAAATTTGGGGTGAATCATGTTCAAATGATGAAAATAATTTCAAATTTTACTTTGATAATTTTCTTCTTGCAAGGAAGATTCCATGCGGTTCCTGTGTACATAAATCTTCGTTTTTTTATTCTATCCTAGGTGAGCCTAAATGCACGTGTAACCTGTGGAAGTGAACCCATCATCAGGGATTTTGAGGGCTTCGTTTAATCACAATCATTAAACATCAATTTTTTAAAAGTTCAATCCTGACAAGATCGATGGGACGGAAAATGCCAGAACATTTCAAGGGTTCCGAGAAACATATGTCATTGCCCACTTAAAACGCCAATAATTTTAAAAATTTAAAATTTGCTCAAAAGGTCATGCATGGTTCCGGCGTACGTCTGGTGTGCTATTCCTATATACAACGCTAGGGTTCCTCCATCGTCCTCAATAACTCACCCACAGCACTGAAGAAATGCTCTCCCGCCGCGACACTGTTGCGCAAAGATCTGCCAAAGACTTTGCTCGTCACACCACCAGCACAATTACCAGGTCTGGAGGAACTGTTACTGCCAAAGATCGTCCTCAGGCAGCTGGGAGACGACGAGGCGCTGCTGCTGAAGGCACTGGGTGTTGCGGACCCGCGCCGTTGCTGCTGCTGGCGACTAGCATCAGCAGCTGACTCCTGCCGCTGTTGCTGTTGCTGTTGGTGGTGGTGGTGGTGTTGGCGTTGGTGCAGGATTCCGGCTTCCTCAGCAGCACCGCCAACCTGATAACGGGAAAAGCAGATAAGCTTCCCACGGTTTTACTCCGCTGACTGCGTGCCCTGCTGCTGCTGCTGTATACCACACACGCGGCGTATCTCGGAAACAACGGGCTGCGCCCCGAGTTTCACATTATACAGTATACGTCCTGTCTTCTGCTTAATCTTGTTTCGATATTTCGGGGAAGACAAAGAAAAAATGTATAAACATTCCCAGGGAATTAATCATTTGGGACTGGTTTTTTTTTTTTTTCAAGCCCTGCAGGATTTTTTTTTTCTGGGTGGATTTATTAGGGTATAGGGAGATGCAAAAGCGGCGGGTTTTTTTTTTCTTATATCAAGGAGAGAAAAAAAATCGTTGAGTTTTCGCGCGTTTTTGCTTCTTCAAATATCAGCTTGAGCTGTTTGATCATCATCAATTATTAAACTTCATGAACATCAAATTTATTTGAGAGCTAATGTCAATATTTGCATGCCAGACCATTCTTCGCATCAATTTTTCGATTTCATTTTCGGGAAAGTACAGTGCTTCATTTTTTTCGTTTTTTCGTCAAGATGCCAATTTTACCCTGCTGCCTTAAATGAAACGTATACGGATCACTTCGTCATCGTGCATATCAACAGTATACCCAATTGGGTTCAATTTCCGACCATTTCTTTTCCTAGCAAGTGCTGGATTTTTATTTTCTTTGATACATTTATTAGGGAGCGGAAATTTGGAGATGCAAAAGTGGTGGGTTTTTTTTCCTTACATCAAGGAAATGGCAAAAAAAAAGGAAAAAAAGGACCTGTTTTTGTTCCCCATCCATGCTTGACATTGAAAGTTCAATTTTTATAATTTTCTGTTAGGTCATTCGAATGAGTCAGAGTATTCATCACGGCACGTATACATAAATAAAGGGCTCAACGTTCATAATTTTGGTTCAAGAAAGTACCTCGATATGTACAGTATTCTTGATTTAATTTAACTGGAATTCTGGCAACCGCATGGAAGCCATACATTTCTCGAAATATGGGCACAATTAATAATGCTATATATGCATATCCCGGGAGCCAAGTTCCAGGAAAATTTCGTCCATCAACTATGTATACTGGAAATATCTGCATTTCCTTCTTTTCCCTGGAAATACTTCGATTTGAGAATAAGTCGTCCCCTGCTTCTTATATTCTTTCCATTCGCTAAGTGCGTGGCGCAACCACAGCAAGATGTTTTGGTGCAGTGCTCAGCAGTAAACAGGATGAATAAAAATAAAAATATTCATAAGCCAGCATTTTTCCTTCTTGATTGAAAATTATTCAGGGGAAATCTAAAAAGCGTGCAAAATTGACCAACTCATAAACTGAGAGCTCATCTTCTTCTACATACAGTTTTCATTTTATCTTCTAAAAAGGATGTCCTTTGAATGTACTGTTGGAACTCAGGAATTCTGGGAAATTATAAGAGGTGCAGTACTTAAAACCTTAGTTTTTCAATGGAAAATGCTCAAAATTTAGCAAGATTTGGCTAAAAGTTTGGATTTTTTGCTGAGGAATCAGAGCGGAAGAGGAGAGAGGGGATTAGTTTTGCAAATTTTCCCAAGCATAAATCAGAAAGCAAAACGTTTTTTTAATCCTCAATAAGCAAGTTGATGAACTTGTAACTCAAGAAAATTAAAACATTCAATCTAGATCAGTGTTCCTCAACCTTTTTGGGCTCATGTGCCAGAAAATTGCCATAAAAGTGTTTGAGGACTGGCAAATCCCCAAACAATTTTCTGCAGACCGGCAAAATTTCAAAAATGTTTGAGTGCCTCAAAAGTTTTGCTTGAAACTTGTAAAATTTTGT